CCCCAAAACCCCAAAACCCCATGCTTGCTAAGTAGATTAAATTTAGGATGTTGTTGTTTTTTTAATTGTAAATATTTAATTGAGTCAATATGTAATCCTCAAACTGTAAACAACAAACAATTTCATTAAAATTAAAAGCCAATCTATTCTCCTCAATGCTTACATTTTTTATTTATAGATTAAGGGATGGTAAGCCATAACAAATTCGCTTACAGGTCAGTACTAGCATAAGATAATCTGATCCTAAGCAAATACTCTAAGTAAAGCACTGGCTCCAACAACCCGAATGAGAACAATGTAAAAATTAACCTACATAATCGCATTTATATATAGCCTTAGATTAGATAAAGTATGAGTTAAATAGAGCATCTATAAATTACAGGATGATCCCCACCTAAATTTGAACCTAGGAATAAATTCAGTGATCATCTCAGCAATCATCATAGCAATTACATCCACCAAGATAGTGGAAATGAACTAGATTAAAGCAAGAGAAAGATCAATTCACCAAGTAAAATTAAATCTTAAATATCCTTTTTAATATAGATGCAGCTAAGTATTCATAATCTCCTGCTTCGTAAATGGACCATTAATCAAGGCAGTCGATAAAAAAACTAGAACTTCAATCAAATTTTACCAGGCATAGCCTGCAACCATAAATTCAGATCTTTAATTCTACTAATGGAGGGGGATCTATGCTGAATCCAGTTAGTTTAACTGAGCTAGTTCCTCCCTAGAATATAGATAAAAGGCCTTCAATTGATTCTAGGTACAAAAGGCCAGCTTCAATTTATACTGGAAGATTGAGTTAACAACCACATCCATCGTCAATTTAAGAACTAGACTCATTAAGCAAGACTTTGACAGCAGGGTCAAAGAAATAACGGAAGACTAGTGTCAATATTGGAGAATTGCATTTTGAAAAGTAATTAGTTCAGGAATTTGAATACTATGAGTCAAATTCAGAGGAGGATCTTAGTAGTCCTACTCTAGAGGCTAAATTTTCACATAGATTGAGGTAGTAAAGATAATCTATTTCATAAGCTAATCAAATGATTGACCTTGAGGAGCCTGGATACAAGCATATAGACACCTATAAGTCCCTTTAGAATTATTTTGGCACAAAGCTAAGATCTCAATTGGATCCTAAAATGAAGCCGTAAACATTTGAGATAGATCAAAATGGTATTCCAATGAGGAAAAATAATACTTCCTCTTTCAAGTAGAATGAAAACATTCATCAATCACAGTATGACAATTGAAATGGAAATATGATGGAAGATGCAAATACGGAATCAGATTAGACCTCCTCTAGTTTTCAGTCAGAATCTTATGACAGTCAATCTGGTTCAAGCAAAGATGAAGATGATATAGATGAGGATTAGGATAATGATTTGGTGACTCCTGGTAAAAATGTGAAGTAAAAGAAGAAAAAAATGGATGAAGTAGAGGCTGCTAAATAGTTCATTTTACAGTCAGCAAATCCTTTTGGTATAAAGCTTGATGCTAATAAGAGAAGGAATGGCTTAATGAAGAATAAAACTATCAAGACTGAAAAGCTGAATGGAGCTAATGACCTCTTAGGTGAGGAAAGTGATGACTCTGAGGAGTAAGAAGAGGAAGATAGCTTGAAAAGTGATATAAACACTGTGGAACTAAATAGGATGGATTCTTAGCCATTTAGAAGTTCAAGAACTGGTAATATGAACATTTAAAGAGGGAACAGTAAGTTTAAAAGGCAGCAGATGAAAATATCGAAGAAACCCATAAATGAGGATAGTAAGTAAAAGCAAAATATAGACAGGAAAAAGAGCAGAATACTTAAAAGGAAGCAGACTTTGTTTAAGGGTGAAAATGGAGGAAATGGATATGACGATAATGATGTGTTGAATGATCAGATAATAAAAGATAGTCAGAAGTTGAGGGACGTATATAAGTTCAAAAAATTTATTATTCTGCCAGATGATGTTTTTAAAGAAAGATGGGAGATAACAATCATGCTGCTTCTACTATTCACAGCAATAGTCACTCCTTATAGAATAGCTTTTACAGACACAGATGATGCGGTGTGGTCAGTTATTGATAATTTGACAGATGGGACCTTCTTTGTTGATTCAATCCTTTAATTCTTTACTGCTTATCAAAATAGTGACGAGGAGTTAATTCACGATAGAAGATTAATTGCTCGGAAATATATCAAATCATGGTTCTTGATTGATTTGCTGTCTGTTATGCCAATAAATTATATGCTATCCTTTGGGGATTTTGCTTCCTTAGCCAGACTTGCAAGATTGCCTAAACTCTATAGACTAATTAAGATGGCTAAGCTCTCAAGATTGCTAAAGGTAATTAAGGAACGCAACACTATTTCAAAGTATCTTAACGAGGTCCTAAAAGTATCAGTTGGTTTTGAGAGATTGTCGTTTTTCGTTTTGATTTTTGTGATATCCGTACATATTACCTCCTGCTTCTGGGTTATTTTAGCAGATCTTCAAGACAATGTATATGAGACATGGGTTTATAGATCAAATATGCAGGACGCCTCAGACTCTGAGTTATATCTCGCAGCATTTTATTACACAATCGTAATAGTTACTACAATTGGGTATGGTGATATCACTGTAAGAACGCCAATTGAATAGGTCTTTTGTATTATGCTATTAGTTGTTGGAGTAGTCTCTTTTTCATTCGCTATTGGTAGTTTATCGTCAATCTTATCAAGTCTTGATGCCAAAGCTGCTAAACTTAAAGAAAAGTTATAAATACTCAGTGAAATCTAGTCAGAGTACAAGATACCATATGACTTGTTTAGGAGACTTAGACTAGCTTTAAGATACGATCATTCCAAGAACTCTTAGGAATAGCTAAACTTTTTGAATGAGTTGCCTTAAAATCTTAAGGTTGAGCTATCATTGGTGATGCACTCTGAACTAATCAAATCAGTGAAATTTTTCAAAAAGAAAGAGCCACATTTCATTGCCTTCGTAGGACCAATGCTAAAGCCTATCAAGGTTGAAAAAGATCAGTATGTTTATAAAGAGGGTGATCCCATTGACGAAATTTACTTCTTAGTTTCTGGCCAGGCTGGCTATGCACTGCATTAGCATGACAATTTAGTCTATTTGATAATTGACAAAGGCTATTATTTTGGAGAAATTGATTTCATTCATTTTGATGAAAATGGTGAGACTGATGGCAAGAGAAAATTCTCAGCTAAAGCTATTGAGGATTGTGATCTATTAGTTCTTAACAAGCATGATCTGTTGGAAGCAGATTAAGAATTCAATGATGTATTTACTGAGCTTTTTAAGAATGCAATGCATAGGCTTAAGCGAACTATCAAGATTAAAAAGGACTCAATTAAGTTTTTTGAAAAATAATAAAAGCTTAGACAGCATTTTCATGAAGATGGTTCTTCACACTAAGATGGAGAACCTTCTGAGAAAAAAGTTTTTAGAGCTAGACTCTCTTAGGCTCCAAAAACCAGATCAGACTTTTTATTTCTTCAATAGAAAACCGAGAAGTTCAATAAAATTAGAAAGCAGTAGGGAATAAACTAAACTCCTAGTCTATAAAACTAAAAATCATTGATGCTTAATATGCAGTAGATTGATGATGGAGAGCTTGATATAGCTTTGGGTACAAGCAGCGATTCGCAGCATGAGAATTAAGAGACGAACCTATAGAAAAGAATAAGTAGACACGATAGTATTTTAATGAGCACTTTGAACAAAAGCGACAGAGTTAATAATGAGATAATAATGAAAACTGCAAATTTTCTAAGTAGATAGAATTCTAAATTCAGTTAGCTAAGTAAAAATATCAAGTAATTTGAAGAAGATAAGGAGAATAACTCAAACACCCTTCATAGTAATAATGATTTGGTTAGTCAAACCTCAGAGGAAGAGAAAAAGCCTTAATCTATTCGAAATAAGAGAGACTCAGTTTTGACATTGGGTTCGATAGCCAAGAGTCAAGGAATAATTTTCAGAAAGGGGACATAAGATAAGGATATAGGGGTAATATAGAAGCAGAAAACTAAAACTCCTTCCAATGCTCAGCAGCTAGTTTCATAAGCCATTCATGGGCAGGAAAAGCTAGCACCCAGCTCAAACAAAGTGCTGAATATGTTTGCCTAGAGAATTCATGCTAATATTGGAAAGAACAGCATAAGTTCTGCAAACAATAATAACAATGAGCAATAAGTAATGACTGAGTCATCTGATGATAAGCAAGGTGAACTTAGATGGAATGTACTAAAAACAGCTCTGAACAAGAAAGTGCAGCTAGTCAAGCAAAACCAGTTCTAAGCTCCTATCTCCACTCATGGTAATTAGATTCAATTATTGAGATAAGGTTCAAATAAACATATACTTCAGTAAATGGTATCTCACAATAGAGAATCACTAAGCAGTCAGCTTTAATAGCATTAATAATAACTACAATAGCAATAGCAGGCAAATTAGTAACAGTAGCAGTAATAGCAGTAGCAGCCCTAGCCAATATTCAATTAATTGCTAGCTTTTCGAGGCGATTCAAATAACATCAGTACAAATTTTAATTCTCAGGCTGTAAGTTAGAGAGATCATATCCTGCAGATTTAGGCAAATAACAAGCAGATGTTTGCCTAAGTTAATGAAAGGATAGATAAATTTGAGAATACCATTGATAAGATTAATAATCTCATTTAGTTACTACAGACTAATCAGCAGGCGAATCAGTAGCATACGGACAATATTAATAAGACAATGACTAACTTCGCTAACTCAATTAGTCTCAATACCACTAGTGCGGCAGTGGCTGCAGTTGGTCAGCCTAATGTCACTAGTTAAAGCATGCATCAGAATAACAATAGCTCAATGAATATGGATAACCAAAATCACCCCATTCATAATACTCATTTCAAAGAAATGATAAAGAAGGTTCTCAAGGAAGTATATAACTAGAAAAACAATTAAAATGGATCGAATGGATAATCTCAATAATGATTCTTAAACTTAATTTCATAATTCAATTCCATTGATAAACCTTGACTAAAGGGGTTTTGGGGTTTTGGGG